GAGCTTCGCCCCTAAAAGTGTCAGCAGCACCCACCTCACAGCGAGTGTCACTGTTATTACGATTAGGAATGAACTGATAATAAGGCATGTACTGTACTGTCAAAAGCGTGTTCTTTACGCGGATAACAAAGATACCAACATTTTCTTGACCCATAAGTAGTCACCGCTTTTAGCCCACTTCTCTGCTCTTCACCATCTTCTACCCACCGGGCTAGTTTTGATATCAACTTTCTTATTTTCTGCAGCTGAATTCGTGAGATTCGTATTGCTCACTTCATGCGGCTTGTTTTGGTGATCCATGCGACACCCCATGGAGCGACACATCATACTTCGGAAGAATCCTCTGGAATGATGGCCCATCAGATGTTAGATGGTCATAAGCACATGCCAATCACCTTAAGTTGACTATTCTGAAACCAAAAGGCGTGTTACCAATCTCTAATGCCGTCTAATGCTGGTTGTACCATTCGGGCTCGTGCCCAGTTTCACGTCTGCAGAATGGAAGCTATTGGGTAAATACCGGTTACACATGAGTTGGCGGCAAAGCGAGCGATGCGTTAAAAGAAAGGTAATCTTAAGAAGAAAGAAAATTTTTATAAAATGAGATTCCCGAGCATTCATTCGATTCTTTGACTTAGAGTCCATCCTGACGAAGGCCGCTTCGTGCACGTTACTCAGGTGTATAAAGAACGTCTCGCGAAAAATTGCGGTCAGCCGTGCATGACGAAATCCATTATCTAAGTGAGGAGCCATGCAGGCACCCAGGAAAAGTGCAGCACGCGAAATTAAGTTGAATGAAGGAAACCGCGTTGAGGTCTGTCTGAGCTGAGCTGCTATTTCCCACCATAAAGCACTCTCACCTGAAAAATTGGCGCTCTGCCACAAGCCACAGTATTATACGGGCGCTGACGAGCGTCTGCATATTTATTTGTGCATGCTCGCATGGTGCGTTCTGAAATATCTGCGCCAGGGTGCCGAGGGAAAAAGCGCAGCCTTGGAACAACGCAGAGAACAAACAACGACACTCTCTTTGAAGCCAAGATTTCACTGAACAGTCCCGCTAGAGTAATTTAAACGAGCTGTTGAAAATAGTTCCTGAGATATAGATGATGTTTGAAACATTCACCTCTAAGGCTCTTTATAAATATTGCCACAGTGGCCTAGTGGCTGTAGTGCTATAGGCTGCTGACTCACTGACAGCGGCGACCGCATTTTTGTGGGGGCGAAATGGTTCAGGCCCACGCACGTAAATTTAGGTGCACTTACAAAAAAGAAAACCACACCGAAGAGCTGAAATTTCCGGAAGAATTAACTTTGGCTCCCCCCACAATCATACGAAAGTTACAGGAAATAATACCCAAACGATTGGTAATAATAATAGTTTTCATGGCAATTTCATGGGAATAACAAGCCGAGATTACTCCTACACGAGGTGATCAAATGTTTCGTGAACGCCAAGAGTTAATCAAATAAAAAAAAAGTGCTCGATCCCTCTTTTCAGAAATTGGTGTTACTCGAAAGTGAAACCTGTCTTAGCAGGGATAGCTAAGCATTCATAGAGCATTGTTTTGTCACAAGGGTGAAGGAAACATGCTTAAGTAACAAATTGCACTGTCAAGCGTAGAACGAAGAGAAGCTCGAAACATGCAGTGCACATCTCAAGCAGAAAGCATGCACCAAATGAGCATACACAGTACAAGCGCGAACAACTGTCACAGCTCAACTCTGAAAGCACGCTGCTCAAGCAGAAAAAAAAACCCATTACAGGAACGCACAGGTACACACAGTACGAGCGCTGACAACCGTCGCAGTTCTTACTTTTTCGTGTGTGAGCAGCGCACTCCTTTCGTAAACGCGGATCTGGCAGTGAGCCAAACTACGTTCGTGTTCTGCTTAACTGCTGTAAATTCAAAGCATTCTTGCGGTGAAAGCTAAAGAGGTACAAAGTGCTCGAATCATGAGATAAGCGCGCGTGCGTGTGAGCCACCACGCCAGCGCCGGAGCACAAGACACGCGCGGGGTGGCGCGACAGGACGACGTCTAGTGTACGCGCATCCAACGCGCTCCTCTCGTTCCCTTTCGCTACTGGTGACGGAAACGCGCTGAAGTTGCCGAGCTCTGAGTATCGTCAGCGGTACATGGTGTGTAACAACGTCAAAGCTTTGCCGTGAAAGAATACGTTCACGCAATGAATGCAATGAATGTTGCTATCGCAAAGAATGCGATAGCAACAAATTCGTAAGTCACGCGAACAATGGCCAGCTGATTGAAACGGGCCTCGCATTTCTCACGCACAAATGAGGCACGAAACGTGCTCACAGAGGCAGATGAACGCGAGTCTCAGTTGTTACTTCGCTGTGTCATAAAAGCATTCCTTTTTCGCAAACGAAGACTGTGCAGGAAATGCAATAATCTTTGTGCGCCCGGTCACTACAACAGAATCATTCCGGTGAAAGCCCAAGGCGTACGATTGTCCCTACCGCGAGATAACCGTGCGCACGCTTGAGCGTCAACCTCCCCACCCTCCACAGGGCTAAGTATGCGCGGTAGATCAACGCATGAGCGCACGTCGCCGTTTCGTGGTGATCTGGCGACGCGACCTCAATGCGCCATCTTGCTGGTAATGCTGAAAACACGATAGTTTCCCCAGATGGACATCAGCAGTGGTAAGTGGTAGAAGTAAACAGCCTACCGTTTCAACGTCGGAGGAGGTGCTCCTTCGTGGCTCAGTAGCTAATGCTACGCATTCACCACGAGCAAGATGTCGGACGCGCGATTCCGTGCGCCGGAGTCTTTTGCTAGATTAGTATTCTTTCTTGCGTTTTCATATATATATATATATATATATATATATATATATATATATATATATATATATATATATATATATATATATATATATATATATATATATATATATATATATATATATATATATATATACGTAGCGAGGAAGGAAGCGCACAGCTCGCTCCGTAGTAAAAACGGAAGCGAAAGAGCAGGACTAACGAGGAAACACTTTTATTAATCCACTATTAACATGCTACAGAAGAGTTGCTTTGTGGCGCAGTGGTTAGCATCGCGTTTTGAAGAGCGCGAGGACGCTGGCTCGACGCAGTGCTGAGGCACTTTTCTTTACCATTTTCTTGCTCGAAATCTGTTAGTAAATATTTTACGATGTCATATTCGTGACAGAAATGCGTTAAGTCACTTGGTAGATCTCGGCATTAAACACTTTCGTCTTAAAATTCAGCAGATAAATGCAGTATGAATATAAAAGTAAATTAAAGCGAATGAAACAAACGTTAAAAATTTGATGTGTTTTATTTAAACTAGTCATCTTACGATAGCAGTACAGTTTTACGATTATGATGGCTACAGTATATGTTGTTGCTCTAATATTTCGCAGATACAGTAATAATAGCAAGCAATATATAGATACAACAAAAAACGTTCTCTTTCAGCAAGTAAAAATTGCTACTGAGAACTGCCACTAACTTTTCTTGAAAGCGATGAGAGAATGCTCACTCTGATCGGTGGCCAATGGCCGACAAATATCAACGAAAATGCTCATGAATATATTTTGGGGCACAGCTTACCCCTTATTCCCACACTAATTCGTATGTCAAGGGGCATTGTGAGAAGAGTCAAGTACCAAGCGTGATCGAAGACGCCATATCAGCGGCAAAGGGAGGTGACCTACAATAAAGAGTTCCTGAAAACAGAAGCTTTTTTCGGAAAATTCACTCTGAAAGCCCAATAAGACCATTATTAGGCCATGTACTTGGCTACTAGCCAGAAAAAAAAAAACGCAAAGGAATGAATGATGGACGCTGACAGAAAAAAAAAACACAACTCAAGAATTGTGCTCATGTTTTTTTTTATTAGTTTGAAGGTGAGCGAGGGTAATTTTTTAAAAGCAACCATTTAGGGCACCAATCAAACTTTAGTGTTGCTGGCACATATATGCAAGCTCTGTTCATGTACAATTACCAATTTTTGTTCACTTGTTCTGAGGTATACCGCGTTCCATATCAATGCACAGATCAATGAATATGCTCTGGTTTACTGTACACACCACTAGCGATAATATTACTGTAGATGATGTGACTGTGTGTCTGTGTGTGTGTGCAGTGCACATACGTGTTAGTGTGTGTGTGTGTGTGTGTGTGCAGTGCACATACATGTTAGTGTGTGTGTTTGTGGGGGGCGTGCGCGAGTATATGTGGTCGTTCGTGCACGTTCGCATGTGCCTGCACGAGAAAGAAAGAGAGGGCGTGCTCGCTCACTTTCTCTCTGCTCTTAACTTTTACACTTCGTCAAGCCTTACGCCGTTGAAGGGTAGCGAAGAAATTAGTGGCGCTAAGCCAGGCTTTCTGAACTGGTTAGCACCCGTCCATTTCCCCTCTCCTCTTCTCCTTCTTTGCTTTTGGTCTCGGAGAACGCAGAAGTGCATTTAAGACCGTTTCTAGCAGGCTGAATAAAACGACAGGGGTCATTGAAACATTGGAATTCAGAAGACATTAAGTTTTTACGACCGCTACTACTTGCATTAGACATGGAGACCCCACCAGGTATTTCTTTTTAGTTTTTCCCGAACAACGTAGACACACACAATAATAACAAGGAAGTGACTCTGAGTGAGTATGTCGCATGATGAATGTGTAACTTACGAAAGACAAAATGTATATGATGCCAGGGTAAGAGCTGGATCGAGAAGCACAAGTCATATTGGTGCTGCATAAAGGAAAGTGCGCGAGTATATTAGTACGGAGGAAAGTGGCGCCAAGGTATGATTAGATTATTCCTTCAAGGTGCGGGCAATCTCTGACTCTCAGCTGGGAAAATAAAAAATAAAAGTGGAGAGAGCGGCCTGCATACAAAACAGCTCCGAAGAGAGCGCCACTTCACTCACCGTTTAGCCATTCTGTTTGAGGCGCTTTTCCGGAGCGCACTCGAGCGAAGAGTCAAGAGAGCGCAAGGCTTCTGCCAGCTAAATGCACATGGCACGCTGCACACAATGTACGTGGAGCCTCGCAGTGACACTCGTTGTTGCCGTTAGCTTCGTACCCTGTGTATATAGTGCTGAATCGGAACCTGTTGTTAGCACCAGCTCAGGCCTTGTGGTTGGGAAGCGTGTGAATATCAACGGAAAAAATGTGGACTCATTTCTGGGAATACCGTACGCAGCAGCCCCCATTGGTCAGCTGCGTTTCGAAAGACCGCAAGCGGCGGCGCCTTGGAACGGAACGTACAGAGCCACAAACATGCCTGCGCCATGTTGGCAGACTACATTGCGATTCGTCGACGGGGCACCTCTAGACTACCATTCCAGTGCTTCGGAGGACTGCCTTTATTTAAATGTCTGGAGAAAGTCTTCAACCTGCTCTGATTCAACGGGATGTGATGCCAGAAGACCTGTGATTGTGTTCATCCATGGCGGTGGGTTTACGTGGGGTGACTCGGCGCTGTTTGTGTACAACATGGCAAACTTGGCAGCACTGTCCGACGTCGTGTGTGTCACGTTCAACTACAGAGTGAGCATACTGGGCTTTCTGTCCCTAGACCGACCGGAGCTGCCGGGAAACATGGGCCTTTGGGACCAGAACCTAGCACTGAGATGGGTGCGAACTAACATCGCGAGTTTCGGCGGTGACCCGGATGATGTGACGTTGATGGGGCAGAGTGCCGGTGGTATCTGTGTCGGTCTGCATGCTGCGTCTCCGCATAGCCAAGGCCTCTTTAAGAAAGCTTTCATGACGAGTGGTGCACCACTGTCGTTGATCCTCGGCTCTTCTCACAGCGGTGAAGGCAAGTTCCTACACATTGTGGGCCTCTTGGGCTGTTACGACTACAAAAGAACCTTAGACGATCAGCTTAGTGACGCAGTTGCTTGCTTGAAGAAACTGAACGCCAGCTTTATCTTCAGGACCCTGGAAGGTCAAGATGCAATGGTGCAAGTGTTTGTCCCTACGCTCGGCAATGATTTCATCTCTCGAAGCCCATTTTCTGAGAATACGTGGAAGACGCTTCCTATAGAGAAGGTTGTGCTCGGAAGTGTGCTTAACGAGGGAACCCTGCTCTTGGACAATATACAATACGCGTCTCCAGGATTGAAGACCATACTCTCTACCGACTACAGGCTTGCCATAACGCTAGCCATGCAGCCCATGTTCGGCATATCAGTGAAGCAGGCGAGAAGTATCGTGCGGGCGTACTTCGGAGATCATGACATTGAGCACACCCAGGAGCGAGTAAGAAAGCTGTTCAGTGAGCTGTTGGGAGACGCTGTGTTTGATTGCCCCGTTCAACTCATGAGCGAGTTAACGTCGCAGCAGGGAATCGACACCTACCGCTACCTTTTCGCTCATCGAGGATCGTACAGTTTTTGGCCGAAGTGGATGGGCGTAGCTCACTCAGATGAAACTATGTACATCCTCGGATCACTACCATTTTTGAACAATACCGCTTACAGAATTAAAGCGATGGGAGAAGCCGCGTCCGACATAATGTCATCGAAGAACTATACCAGCGAAGAGGAGAAGATGATGGAAGAGGTCGTCAGTGCTGTTGCCTCCTTTGCCAAGACCGGGTGAGCTATGATTTATTACACTATCTAATGCTAATGTTACTATACCTAATTAGTGTGCAGAAAAAAACAAAAAATACAGTTTGCTTTAAAGTGCACAATATTTTAATTTTAAAGTGAACACAAATATTTTTTTACGCTTCTGTCTTTTCACCGAAAACAAGAGTTATAAGGTCTGTGTTAAGGCTCTGTGTCTCAGGTTTTGACGAATGGTTTTACGAAAACCACCATTCAGACCATCTTCTAGTTGTGTCAGTTTATCATAACGGTATGTAAGGAAACGGTGTACCCTAAGTGCTTACCGTACTTACCACATACAGTGAACCGGAACACCTAAAACCTCTTGTTTATGGCTAGGATCAGAGCAAAAGGAACCAGTAAAGAAAACGAGATGACAAACGTCCGTAATCATATCCCATATTAATCTTGATTCACGTACCTTCGTGACCTGGTCGCTGAAGCGCTTGTTCTTAGACAAGCAGTGAATAAAAATGGGGAGACTGCGTGACCTGCACCTCATTTTCGATCGACGTTTTTTTTCTTTTGCGTTTCTTGAGGAGGATTAGAGTATCTGTGGGTTTTCTGTGTCTATTTGCAACGGCATTCACGTACGTTTCAAACTCTGCATGTGGATGAACTGCGTGTGGAACCACTATCTGCACCTAGTTGAACACGCTTGGCTTCTTTGTGTTCGATAGTTTTCTAAATTATATGATTAGTCGCATGAAAGCACTCCGTATAGTACTGTTTACTGAGGCCCGCGTTCTCTCTTGGATTAAAGTTAAGTTCAGCTCTCACCGTATCCGAAATTTCACGAATGTTTCGCGCAGCATTGAAAGAAGGCTGGCTGGTTTGTAGTTCAGGACTTTAACGTCGCCTTGTGTGCATCGATAAAATTGATACCGAATTGCTGCTACCCTCGAATTTGAAAGCATGGTGCGCTGAGTGTCGCAAGCTTGATTGATTAATATGTGGGGTTTAATTCCGCAAAACTGCCATATGAATATGAGAGATGCCGTAGTAAAGAGTACGGGAAATTTAGACCACCTGGGGTTCTTTAACGTGCACCGAAACATGAACACACGGGGGGCCTACAGCATTTTCGCTTCGATTGAAAATGCCGCCGCCGCAACCAGGATTCGATCGCGCGACTTGAGGGTCAGCCACGAGGGGTCAGCAGAGAGTGCTTTAGCCATTAAGCCACAGTGGTGGGACGAGTGTCGCAAGCTTCGCGAATGTAAAATCTCCTCCGCTTTTTATGACAACGGTTGTTACGCCATCTTCTCCGGGCCTCTTTACCGCAAGGTACGCCTTGTGGCACTTTTCCAAACCCACCCTTCCTCCCCATTAGATATAAAACTGATCTTCATTGTCATAGTTAACTTCCTTCTCCTCGACTAGCTTCTACACCAGTTAAGGAGGGAATATGTTTGAGGTTCGGCATGGGTCCCCTCGATGACTCAAGTGCATGGTGGAAGCGCGAAGGAAGAGCCGTAATCCGGTGAAGAGACGCTTTATTGCAGCCTCAGGCGTCTGCCCGAGTCTAAGCCCAGACCTCCACTGTCTCCTTTCAGATTCAAACATCCTCTTTTCAACCGTAGGTTGAATAAAGGGTCTTCACACAAACCAACCACACGTTGGGACTCGCATCATCACAACCAATCGCAGAAACACTTTCATAACAGGCACAACATTGGTAAATATCACGTTGTGAAGTACAACACGAGAGGGGATAGGTTCTCCACGTTTCACACTCTCTCCCATGCCAGGCCGTGTATCGGCCGACCTCTGTCGGTAGCCGTTCTCCCGCTCGGGCTCCATCAACTTGATCATTAACGTCGCTTCGTAGAAGCTTCCGTAAGCGCGGAAATTACACCCTCTAGCGCTGTGCACTGACCAGGTGTGCACGCGACTGCGAGGCACCTCACCATCCTAACAACACTAGGTAATGACGTATAGCTGGGGAGGACAAACTCTTGTCCGTGCCGCCACTATGTCTCGGTCAGCCCAGTGGTCGCGTCCCCGCGTCATTCTTAATGGCACGCGTGCATGCCAACAATGACTTAAACTCAGACGGTGGCGCCTGGCCTGCTTCTTGCCAGAGGATGACAGTTATAGCGCGAGAACAAAACGACGACACAGAGACAAGAAGGACACGAAGGACACATATCCTTCGTGTCCTTCTTGTCTCTGTGTCGTCGTTTTGTTCTCGCGCTATAACTATCGTCATGCCATACCAACTAGCCCAAGCTGCCACACTTCTTGCCAGAGGCTCTTCCATGTATACCTTTTCCCCTTTTCCTTATAATCACGAACAGGGTTGACCTTGACGGCTCCGCTCGTCAAGGAGTCTCCTTTCTTTCCCGGGCGCCGGTCTCCCGCGTTCGCTGTCGCGGAACCGACCCGCTTCGTTAGTTGACGGGTCGGGAACTGGCTCCGCGCTCTGCATCAGCCGCATTAATTGCGCTACACACAACACGCCGCTAAAGGTTACCCTATACTAATTGTCATGCTAGGCTTTTCTTTCATTCAAAGTAGGGCGACTCACTGCTCAATCACACAGCTCAAATTAAATGTCCTCAACTGCCTCCACAATGCCATTATAACATTCAACAATGTTCCAATTTCAGAGCGAAACTTTGCGGCTGTTATGAGGTGACAGCACAAATTTCGTGTAGTGCCGTAGTTGTCCGCGGCCGCCGAGGTCCGTAACCACTATCCCACGAAATAAAAGAAAAAAGCTCAGTAAATGTTAATTGCGTAACGGGCGGGCATACCAGTGTTTAAAACCATTAGAAAAACTTGTTCTTGATTGTCCATTAACTGTGGCGCATACCCACTTCAAGCATAATTCTTTATCGTCATCAGCCACTGGACAGAAAAAAAATGAGACAAAGCTACTTTCAAGTGCGTATCGGATACCACGCTTCTCCGAAGTTTGATGAATGACATAGTGAATGACTGCCTGCCTACTACAGAATCATTTATGACGTAGTGGGAACCTTGCAAGTTTGCTTGCAGAAGCTACGAAAAAAAGTGTTTGAAAAATGCTCTGAAAGGCCACTCTTCCTGCTTTCGCTGTGACAGTTCTGCGCGTTGCGTGCAGGTCTGGTGTTTTTTTTTTATTTTCAGTCTATAGTGTTAAAGAGCTTGTTTTTCAGGGATTCCCGAGTCGACGTCAGCGTAGGCGTCATTGGATGTCAGCAAATTATAGTTAATTGGTGGGCACATTGATGCAATATTAAGAGCAAATATACAATTAAACTTTATTTACACCATGGACAATATTACAGATGGACGACCACAAAAAAAAAGAAAAGTTGCCGAGAGGCGGATTGACCAGTCCATAGCCCAAACTAATCTATGGCATGTGAGCAACAGCAAAGAAAAACAGTTCACAAACGAAAACATAACAACGTATGGTTGATTGATATGTGGGGTTTAACGTCCCAAAACCACCATAAGATTATGAGAAACGCCATAGTGGAGGGTTCCGAAAACTTTGACCACCTGGGTTTCTTTAACATGCCCCTTAATATTAGCACAAGGGCCTTAACAACATATGATTAGTACAAATTAAAAGCAATATACAATAGCCTGCAAAAAAAAAGCATACAAGAATGCAACACCGGGGTGAATAAAATTAGTTTTCTTATACAAACACAGATCTAAGGGTGGCTGAGGTACAGCAAGACAAAGAAAAACTAATTAACTGAAAATGGTTTAACAATGATGGTAAAAAATAACATAACAAATATATACCTGTGTTCAAACTTCTATAGAGTGTATATTTGTGAGCTCACATAGTAAAAGTATAGAAGTATATAATTCAGTATATGAGCGCACAAAGTAGAAGGAAGGAAGCACTTGACAGAAAAGAGCCTCAATATACAACTGCGGAGTCATTAGGAAAATTGATTGCACCAGAACACCGAAACGCACAGGCGCACTCAACCATCACTGCAAAACGTCACACCCACAAAATGTATGTTTCTTTTCATCAAGTACTAAAAAAAAACAAACATTTTTGTCACTTAGCGCGACCGAGGCAATACTGATGCACTTGCTTGTGTTCGCCCTAATCTTCCCTGCTTGCGTAATTTCTCTGGTGAATCTGAGTTTCGATTTGCTCAGAATCCTCGCACTGCCAAACTGTCGATTGCACCCACAATCCTCGCAGTGCATAGACAAGTGCGCACCACCTAGGAGAGCCTTCAAGAACGACGCATGTTCTCTGAATCGACCATATAAACATCAGCCCGTCTGTTCAATGTGCACTTTTCCGCAGCTGAACGGTATCCCATATACAACCCCTGAAAAACACGGCACAGAATTCGTGACTTTTTTTTTTTTGTACAAGCACTGTTTTCTTCTTTTCCTGTCCACGGTTTCCTATTACGAGACACACTTTAGCGACTTTGCAGGGAGCTGTATGAACAACGTCTATTCGGTGCTTACGCATAATCTTCATCAGACTGTGCGACACCTCATGTGCACATAGTGCAGGGTAATTTTTGTTGGCTTTCTTTTTTCTACGAGTTGGTCGCAGTTGACCTCTTTGACTTGTTTAACACGGTACTGCCTACTGCGTCTGGCAAGCGGTCCGGGTAACTCGAACTGAGTAGGCGTCCTACTTAATTCCGGAAACTCTCTTCCATTTAATGGTGACATTATTTGCTCAACGAAGAACTAAGGCAGTAATTAGATATCACCCTTTTTACTAACTTGCATGGTGAAAGTCGATAATTTGACAGTCTTTTTAAAGGAAGGGCATATGCATACATACAAACTTACATACGAAGATAGATGCATGCATGCTGACATGTATGTATGTATGTATGTATGTATGTATGTATGTATGTATGTATGTATGTATGTATGTATGTATGTATGTATGTATGTATGTATGTATGTATGTATGTATGTATGTATGTATGTATGTATGTATGTATGTATGTACGTATGTATGTATGTATGTATGTATGTATGTATGTATGTATGTA